CCGCTTCGACTTCGCATGGAACGTGCTACTTGGCAAATTAATAAATGATTATTATATTACGCAGCCCGTTAAGTTAAAAGGCGATTATGACATAACGAGGGCACACACCGCCAATTGTTGTTAGGAAAGAGCGTTGTTGAAAGAGAAAGAGCGGTACTGAAACCGAGACGGAACCTGAAAGTCCAGGGGAAATGGAGTCTGGAGTCTGAACCTCGGCTCGTCTCCCAATAATTTATCCATTAAGATTGCACGCGCCCGATTATGTGCTACGTGGCCTGGTCGGTTTGGTACCCACATCCCACTTTCCACTTCCCAGTTCCCAGTTACCAGCTCTCGACTTCAGTTGGCTGCCTAGATGGAGATGGAGATGGAGATGGTTATTGGGCTCGGCCCACAGTTGATTTAATGCGCCAAATTATAAAATTGTTGTTGATTTAATTTTATGAGTGTAAACCGCTCCGTCGGTCCGAGTGTCGGCCGATCAGTCAGTGCTACTCGTCTTTGTTTACCATCTGCAACTCCATCTTCAACTCGGAGTCGTACTCGGACTTAAAGTCCAACTCAGGCCGGAGCTGGGAAGTCTTGTAACCATGTTCTCGCAGTTTATCGCAAATCTTCAGCGGCGGCAACCGCAACCGAAATTGCAACTCCAGCGGTCTGGCTGTGGAACGTGAACGTGCACATGAACGTGACATGTGAATTAGGAATCGGACATGGCACATTTCGCAGGAGTGCTCCCCCCAGGTACGCTGAAAGGTGCCCTTTTCCCATCCATTTATCTTGTTTTCCTCATAAATTAATTGACACTTATATGGCGCTAGAAATCGGGCATAGTCTTGCTTGACTTTGAAAAAATGCTATCAAATTTAGTTATTACTTAAAATATGTTCAATAATTAAGAAAATGTCTTAAAACATGTCCTCACAAAGTATACTTTAAACAGAAACATTTTTACGAAAGTTCACAAATATATAAACTGCTAACGATCTGTTCGTGTGAAGCCTTTCCAATTTGGGAACTTTAATTCTTGATTTTACAGACTACCAGAAAGTTCGTAGGTACTTTGAAACTAGTTAAATAAGTAAGCAAAGTCTCAAAACATGTGCCCACAAAATATATTTTAGAGTCGCACATAAATCTTGAGAGCAAGAGTTAAAGGGGTTAGTTAGGTTTAAAAAACCTAATCTTCATAAAACACGATTGCAGAAGAACAACCAACAACAACAACCACTCACTGCATCCACGAGCGGGGATCCCAAGAGGGGGATTATCCACAAAGAAAGATTTCTCCTGTTGGGCCCATCAATTGGCTCTCACATCTCTGTTCGCACTGACCTGCTTGGGTGCGCTGTCAATTAAGCAGGGACTCTGGGATCGAGTCCATTTCCATCTTTATTTCCACCTAAAGACGACCAACATGATCCACCACCCGCTGCTCGTTGCAGTCAATAATCGAAATACTAAACCCGCTTAACTGCACTCCACTTTGGCGTGAGCTGGGCATTTTGGGCATGGAGATGGAGATGGAGACGGATATGGAATATTTGGGGAGTGGGAGGAATCGGAGGAATCGGTGAGTTACCCGCAGACGTGCACAATTTGGCGCCCTACTTTGGACCCAGCTCCTACGCAAAAGGGCGTCCAATCTGATCGAAACGGAGCGTGGTTAAGTGTTAATAAATCGCTGGGGACCCAATGAAGATCACGGGGATTTGTTTCAAACTGTTTTTATATTATTTTTACAACTTCGTTTGGTGCGAGGTAGACCCTTCGGCAGAGTCAGAGCCCAAGTCCCCAGTTATTACTAAACAAATTAGCTCAAATTAATCAGAAACGAAAGTAACACCGCATGCAGCACTTTGGGGTCAAGACAAATGGACGCCTGCGCAGTGAGGGGCAACTAACCATCCTATCCATCCTATCCACCATGACCATCCACCTGGGTGGCTGAGTGTGAGCCACCACCTGGGCCAATGACACCGACGAACGTAAGTGCATCCATTTGGATCGACTCCGCTCGCAGATCGCAGATGCTTCAAACAATTTGCAAGCTTTCAATCAACCCGGCTCGGGGTTCTGCATTCTGGATTGGCTCCCTAATCGATCACAGAACTCGTATTGCCGCTCGATTCCTTCCATCATTCATGCGATCAGCATTATCTGCCGTCAGGCATCGTTGTCAGCCGTTGCTACCAAGTGGTGGCAAGTGGTAAGTTGCAAGTGGAGGTGGGGGCAGGACCATCTGCATCTGCATCGGCACATCGGAGCATCGAAGCATCGGAGTATCGGAGTATCGGAGTGCGTAAGAGGTTCGCCAAAAGCGTAATTAACGTTCGCATATTTTGCTGTCGGATTATCGCGACCGAGACTGTGCGACAAAAGCTTCCTGTGCAAATTGAACGGATAATTGCGAGCCATAACTGTAAGTACAGAGAATTCGGGAAGCAGAAAGAGGTGCAAGTATGTCTGGCTCTAAACTATCATGTACTTACGAAAATAGTCAGTTTTATATCTGATCATAAAGTTGTACAACTTTTATCTACTGTAAGCTAACAACGGCATTAAAAATGTATTCAATTAATGCCTTACAAGCAATAAATTTAAATAACAACCGTACGAAATTAGAATTTGTATGAAAGAGAAAAATTTCACACGTTTTCATTAAATTAAAACTAATAAATCGGTTTTAGATTGGAATTCCAACTAAGCTTTTATTTATAAAATATCGTTTTCTATAAATATCGATTTTTTATTAATCATCACAAATATTTAAAATATGCTAAGCTTTCGATTAGGATTATTCACTATTCTTTCTAAGACTATTAATATTAGTATTTTAATTATTTTTAAGTCAGCCAAAATATGCCCTAAATGTTAATAACAAAAGTCGAATATAATATCGATATAATATTCAGATGGTACCTTGGCACTTAGTTGAGAACGAAATCGAACCCAATTAACTAAGCACAAATCTCCGGCAATTAATAACCGCTCGACAATGTTTCCCTGCCTGCAAGGGTGGTCTTAAGGGACCAGGAATTTCCCAGCAAATGGGGACTACAATACACTGTAGCAGTCTCGAGTGGTTTGGATTGTTTGTAAAATGATATGAGCACATTTCGGGAACACTTTCTAACAATCGAACGCTCCTTTCATCCATTTCATCCGCTCTCCTAATCCTTCGCATGGACGCTTATCGCCCGCGCCCTGGACGCTAATTTGATGAGTCATCTGTGCCGACTTCGACTGCGGTCCGATAGCCATCTGCCCCGCCCCCTGCTTCCAAACTCTCAAACTCTTAAACTCCCTACCCCCGTCCCTGCATCACCCATTCACCTGAGTTCTTTACCTGCTCAAATGGGCATTGTCGTAAATTTAACGTTTGTCATTGAATGGGAGTGTTTAGGCATCATCTAGGGACGATATGTTTGTGTTTGTATTGAGTTTTCGTAGAAATTGTCACAAGAAATGGGAAAAGCGGGGAATGTCAACACACAAAGTGCGGCAGATGGGGGAAAACTAGATGATAATCGGATCGTACCTTTGGGTATCTCATTTCTCCATAAAAATTGGTAACAATGCCCAACCAACCAATTTCTTTTTCTACCCCAGGCGCAGCTCCGTTGTTGGGAACGTAATTACTTTGATATCCGAGCCAGAAGGCATTCCCGACCTATCGCTCTGAAATAGAGAATCCCATTTACACGGTTCATCGATCCAAGGGAAAGGACTTGTGCCGCTGGCGAAAGTCGGGATATGGCACATAATACGGATCAGTATCGGACTGGAGCAGATGTCTGGCAGGATAACAGGCGGCTGCAAAGATCTTAAGGGACTCACTTTAAGTGTGCTCTGTTTTATAGTAATAGTAATTTAAAATCTAACTAGTCTAAGTAATATGAAAATAAAAATGTAAATGTAATTTGATAAGGCAAAAAAAATCACATCAAAATGTACCTTCAAATTACCTTTTATGACTTCCCAGCTCGTAAAATAAATACAAATTCAAATCAAAAAGTCTTGCTACCCGTTTTTCTGGGAAATTACATTAATCATAATATTTTTATAAACGATAGCCGTTTAATAAAATAAAAAATAACTATAAAATATCCGTTTAATTACATTAACCAATAAATATTGATTTTACTGCAAATTAAAACTTTAATAGCGAATATTATTTACCAAAATTTTACAGAAATCAAAATTAATTTCGAAATAAACATTAAATGTGTTTATGGGAACAGCTTGAATGGGCAGAATTCCATGTTGGCCATGTTCGGATCCGTTTCGGGAATTACTCTCTAATGCGAATCCCATCGCACGCGTGTGTTTGTGAGTCATCTGCGGTCGCAATTTCAGAGTCAGAGATTCATTGGCCATTCAGTTTGCCGAGACTGCCCCCCTGGAGCTATCATAAAATGCCGGCGTCGCCAAAGGAAGTGAATCCGCAGGGAGCAGGGGGATCGGACGGAGGAGGAGGAGGCTAAGGTCGGTCGCCTACTTACTCCGGAGCTGTCAGCTTATCATTTCGCTTTTAGCGCACCACCAGTCTCCAGAAAGTGTGTCCTGCGACGAGGGCAGTGTGTGCGTGAGTGCACTCAAAAAATTTACGATTTATTTTTTACTACTACTAAAGCTTTAAGCTTGGAAGATTTACTCGAAATAAAATATACATACATACAGATGCATATATTAAATTTAAATTTTTGTTTTAAAATCAGTAATAAAACCATTTGTTAATTTATGATACTTCAATGCATATTACAAAATAACGTCAAGTTATTGTATTAAAACTGGTTTTAATTCCCAATTTTGTATTCGTTGATGCCATAATTTATATAGAAGATTTGTTTATTAGGCTAATTGTTTTTATGACTAATACGATTGGTTTGATAAGGACATAACTGGCTTAAATAGAACTTAAATAATTTGTTATTCGTCTATAAATTTGTTTAAAAAATAAGATAATTTAAACATTTTCTGAAATTAACTCCTAGACTAAGATATTTGAAATTAATGATACCATTAAATTAACAATAAAAGATCTTGGGCTTAAAGTCAATTATTGGGCCATTGATTTGAAACTTCTTTACATATCTGAGCGCAATTTTTCGAGTGTTTGTTGGGGGCTCATTATCGGAGTGCGCTCAATGGAATGTAATGGTGGCCGTGGCCCCATCTCCATCCCTTGGGCCACCTCTTGATTTGGCCCGATCCCCAGCCCGCTCAAGTGGACCGCCGCTTGCGTGCTGGAACGCCGCTGTCTCCGCTGGCATTTCGTGTTATCCTTCAGCTCAATTTCGGCTACTTTTGGATGTCTCTCGGCGAGTGAGTTCTTTTTTTTCGCCTTTTTGCGTTGTGTTGGATTGCATTGCATGTCGCATGTCGCACTCGAACTCAAAACTCGAACTCGAACTCGCTGTGAGTCTCTCTTTCTTTCCGTTCGCCTCGCCGTCCGTCCGATAAGGTTTTAAGTTATGACCTTTTAAAATGTCCAAATGCGGCGATAACACGTGATTACTACAAATGTATTCGGAGAGTGCAGCGGATCAGGATGCGCCACAAAAAATCCGGGGCCCTTAAAAAGAGACAGGGAGATTGCGAGTAAGAGAGAGGGAGCGAGGGAGCGAGCGAGCAAGGCAGCTTGGCAACAGGCAACAAATTGTTTTGGCCTCCAACTAACAAATGAATTCCTAAATCACACAGCACTCCTGCTGCTCCCACTCCTGCGCTCCACGCTGCTAAAGCTTCTGTCTGCCATGCAGTTGAGCTGCAGGACATAGGTGGATCTGGCTCTTCATGCGAAGGAATCATAAATATCGATCAAAACGTCAACGTTTTATCTATTCCACAAATCGATCGTACACCGTGCGCAAAGCGTGGCCTGAATGAATAGAAAGAGAACTAAAATATAGGGCTGCAATTAAATTTTCCGAAAATAAGTTAAATACTAATATAAGTAAGTCAGCTTAACCTCAAAAAAAGTTCTACAAACCAACACTTTATAAACAAAAGTTATATACAATTTATGATGTTAAATGATTACTTTTATGTTTTAAATTAAATTTACTTTAATATGACAGCTCTTAAATGTTATATGAATTTTATAATGCTAACATAAATATTTCTGGCTTTAACCATTTTATAACTTTCCTAGCTAATAAAAAATTATAAAAAACTGTTTAGCTTTCCTATAGCAACTAAAAACTATGCTTTAAGAATGGCTACTACAATTACAACACGATCAGAAACCTAAACAGCAATTACGAACCTTCACAAGCAGAGATTAATAAATGAATGATGTGCTTTCAAATCCTACAAAACGATCATGATTATAATCAAGATTCGCGAGGATCCCGATCCCATGCTTCCCATCGACATTCAAAGGTTTCGCAGCCCTGGTCTTGCCGCTCTGCTGCCATTCACCATGTAAAGAGGATCCGGGGGCCATCGAGATCGAAGGGTTGGGGGTCGATCACTTTGTAAATTGTTGGACCTTGCATAATTTAAGCATAATTCTTATTTTATTCCTGCCCGTGAGTTGGGGTGCTGCAGTTTTGGCTGTGTGTGGATGCTCCCAGGAATTTCATCTTTCGCTGGCTGCCACATGTCGATTGCGGCCAGATATCCGTCGCTCCGCTCCGGTCAGCTACCCGACAAAATGCTTCAAGGGATTTTCAGCCCCTCAGCTCCTTGTACCCCTCGTACCCCTTCTGATTATTACGAGAGGGGCAGGGGCAGGGGCACTGAGGGAATGGGGGGCGTATATATGGCTAATAATAACAATAATAATATGCGTTCGCTTATCAAAATTGACGTCAGATCTTATTGATATGCATCTGGCAGTGGAGTTTTTGGCCAGCGCACAAAGGAAAATCGTGTCAGGGAATCGCTTGGGCTTAATTGAAGCGTTATTATGCGACTGTCACATACACGCACGTATGCAAAGCGTTCCCCCGAAACGTTTGTGGGTTCGGTTCGCGATCGCGATCGCCAGAAGTATGGATCCATCGAGATCTCCAGACCAAGTCCTGCTGCGTCTGTGCCTCTGCCAGTGCCTGTGCCTGTGCGAAACCTTCACCTTCGCTCGGCTTGACAGATGCATCAGAATTTTTAAGCACCGCAGGCCATCTCGGAACTTCTGCCACGGCAGCCGTCTTTTATTAATCAGCAGACTGTCCAGCAGAGGGGCATGTGCGGGGGGCACAGCGGTTGCGAATATTATTTATATCGAATTTAATAATAATTCTTGAGCTGCTGCCGCTGCGTAGGCTGCTGCTGCTGCTCTTGGCCACTTCTCTTGGCCAGTTTGATCAGCTCAGAAATTTGCATTGATCGACGTTGCAGATATGGACAGGCGGAGGCCGGAGTCAAAGTCAGGACAAGGTCTTTCACTGAGAGAAAAAATAAAAAGAGTTTACTTATCCAAAGAGAAAGTAGTTCTTCCACACGCTGTTCACCTTGACTGAATAACTATGCCACTTATATTGGCTAGTGCCATGTGAAATATGTATTTGTTGACAGGCAATTTGTAATAACTAGATTACTTAGATACCAATAGACTAAGTAAAATAACGAGTTAATTTATTCAAAATAAAACGGATTAAAAAAACCTACATAGCCAACTACAATAACTTATTTTTTTACGGTAATTATGTTTAGCCACATTTTAGCTAAAAAGCCAAGAATTACTTATATTCTAAAGAATTGTATATAATGTAACCGTATATTTAATTAAGAAATGTAATTCTGTAAATAATTTTTTTTATGCCACAATGCTAAAAAAGTATATAGCTTTGCTACATTTTTATGGAAATTTAACAATCCAAAGGTTGAAGATAAAGAAATAATTTATTACCTGTGATTTTTAAACCAATATTAATGGTTTTAATGTGCAAAGGAGTTAAATTGGAAAATATAATAACAAATGTATTATTAAAGTTAAAAATGATAAAAACATTTATTAAACGACCTTATTTTAAATGTGAAAATATGAAATCCATTAAATCAATAGTTTTATATTAAAAAAAACTCTTCAACACTTCTTATGAAACATTTTAGCCGCCAATTTTTTTTGCGACAACATATTTTATAGGACCGAAACCGATATTTTCCCAGTGCATCGAGAATGGCGAGACAACGCCGTGATGTGGAGATGCTGCCGATGCTGCTGATGCTGCGGCTGCCGATCTTGTGATGAACGATTTCGGGCGTGGGGGCGAGGCATCGGCGGGTTCAGCCTTATGTACTTTCGCCCGGGTGAAAAGCATGCGCCGCCCTTATTAGCATGCCGCGGACGTTCCCGGTCGGCGGAGAAAAGTGGGTTACCCTCCCATTTCTGCGCCTGCCCCTCTGGCTTAATGTGCCGTTTTGTTAAATTGCAGCGTTAAGAATTGCGCACATAAAGCATTTTGTTGTCAAACTGATTTCTGATCATACATAATTTTTATCTTGATCCAAATAAGGCTTACACGATCAGAACGCAGCTCGATACTGGGCCCCTAGGGCCACAGAAACCAGTAATACTGTAGCGTATCGATACTATACCATACCTCGCCGTCGTTAATATATGCATGCGTGGTCAGAGGCGATATATATATTTTTTTTTCGGCCAATTCGTAGCTGGGAGTTTTAATGGCGAATTGGCCGAGCAACAAATGAGTCTCGACCATATGCAAAATGTATCGAAATTATGAGCATAATTCCCAAAAATATAAAAAGAACGCTCAGCTCTTGGGCGTTTCAAATGCCTTGCCTTATTTGTCGCTGCGGTGACGCCCCTCGCCCACAAAAACGCCGAAAATGGCTAAGTGGCCGACACTTAAGTGCACCATAAAAACCGGAACGCATAAATCATCCCCAAAGTCCACATAATAATCGGTTAAATGGATGTCCGAAACACGAGTCGGCGATAACTATCGAATCCGTTGTCTCGGATATGGCTTTAAAATGACACAAAAATCAAATCAACTTTTTATGGCCATAGTTATGAACCTGGTTGTTTTATTGTCCGTCGTTAACATTGGGAAATATCAATTTGGGTTTGATTATTGTTCCAGGCGGTCCATTGATTATGCGATAACTATCAATAAAAAAGGAAATACCGGATGATCCACAGCTGCTTGACTTCGAGTGCCAAACAATAAAGCTGTGTGCCAGCCCCATAAGACAGTTGGTCAATTTCTTATTACGAAATCATTACAGCCATTGGCTTTATTTCACTAAAAGCCAATCTAAAACGGGAATGATGAACAATAAACTTTTATAAACTATTAATTTCAACTCAAATACTCAGATTTCTTTCGAGTTAGTTAAAACTAGCTATTAAGTGGATAAAAAAAACTAGTCTCTGCTTAAATGTTAAATCAAAAAACCATTTTTAAAATAAATCAAACGGTCACAACATTTATTTATCTAAATTAGTGCTTCTATTTGCAATAAATTCAGCTGGTTTTTATGGGATGGCATTTTATAAAAATGCTAACATTTTCAGTTATTATTTATAATAATCACACCCATCTGGCAAAATGCATGGAACTAAAAAAAAACAATTTTAAATTTATACATATATTAAGAGATTGCTCTGTATATATATAAATAATGCTGTATCATCCTATAATTTCTTCAAAACAACACAAAAAATCTTTTCTGAATGAATTTGTGTTTCCTTGTTTTTACATTTTATCCAAACATTTACCCAACAATGCGGATTTCGTGAATTTCTTCGCTTCCTTGACCCAGTTTAAATGGCAAAAAGAAATGAAAGAGCCAGACGAATCGTACATATTCGAGAAAATTATGCTTCATGTTTGCCTGCCCTGAACTTCCCTCCCACCTGAGCGGAGGGCACATAAATTGGCTCCCAATATCCACAAAACGACAGTAAACGGTCATTTTTATCGAAATAATTGCATTTTTTTTTTGTGTTGTGTCTGTTGTTGCTGCAGTTGGTTCAGTTGGTTCAGTTGGCTTTTTGGCTGTGACTCTGTCTTTAGTATTGGCAGCGAAAGTTTTGATTGCGTTCCGCTGGCGTTAGCAGGCCTTGGATAATCCACTCCACTCCACTCGACTGCACTCCACTATGTTTCATTACGAGCAAGGGATTGCAGAATGCCGCAGGGTCGGGCCAAACGAGCCTCTGATTGTGCATACGCACGAAATCAATAAATAAAAGAGCGTCCAGAAATTGCGAACTGCGGATCCAGAGGATCCAACTGCAAATGGAGGCCCACGCCGCCGCCCTGCCTCAAGATGCAGCTTCTCGAGGATCGGCCTGATGCGCGGCCATAATTCATTTCATTATTGTTTTGACATTTTATTTATTGAATGCGAACAGGCCCCGCTCCTCGCTTTTTACCCACCCCCCTCCCCCCACAACCACCAGTTCCGCAAATGTTTTGTGCAAATTGTTAACGGGCTTGTTTCGATTTTTGGGGGCCTGGGTAAGTGAGTGAAATCAATGCCTGCGATGCGTGTGTGTGGTCCCATCGCTGGCCAAACAAAAGACTTAGGCAACGAACTTGGCCAAGAGGGCGCGCTGGAAAAGTCTTTTTCGAGCAAACAAACGAAATACTTATGTAAATGTTACAAGGCAACACAACAAGACGAAAATTTACATAAATTGCCCTCAAATCAATTTAGCTAGCAAAGCGAACCGGTTCGAGGCCAATGTTTATTTTTTGAGCAATTCTCTTTGCCTCTTAGCCTCAAATGAAGCTGAAGCATCAATTAATGATCCATAGAGAGAGAGTTTTCAATTAGATGGCCAATGTCCATTAAGATTGCATTCCCCAAATGGAGCACTCTACACTTCCCACGCAGTGCCACGCCCACGCCCTCGAAGACGCCCTTCTTCATCAATTGCCAAATGCCAAATGGCTGACAATTAATACACACCTCGCTGCACTTAGCCATTTGATAAATCGGCCTGCCCAACGCCAGGCAAAAGTTATGGAAATTAGCTTGCCGCAGAGAGTTAATGGAGTCAAAACGCTTATAAAACTTATATGCCCGGCCGGCAGCGGCATCGGTTGCGGCATCGGTTGCGGCAGCTGCAACAGACCAGAATATGACAATATGGCTGGAAATTAATCTTGCATAGAGCCGGAGATGGAGACGGAGATATAAAGTCGCCGGAGGAGGGCGTAGGATCGCAGTCGTCTAGGCAGGATGTGGCCCGCCATTGTCGCCCGGTTTCACTCGGTCGTCTGAGACTCTCTGAATGTGAACTTGATTATGTTTTATGAGACTCACTGCCGATGCTGTTGCCATCGCTGTTGCCTTTGCTGTTGCAGTTGCAGTTGCATTGCATGCTGCAGACGCTGCAAATCCGCCAACTTAGTTGCATATGTACGCCATTAGATGTCGCCCATAAATTGTGGTATCATTTTTTATACGCTCCTCGGACCGGCCATCCAAATGACCCAAGAAAAGGGGATCCCTTTTTGCTTCCTTGGGCCCGGTGGGCGTTTATCTGTTTGCCACTTTTTGATTTGATTATTCAGTTTTTCCCCACTTATGGCCTGGCATTCACTGATTTTCTCCCAGTCGGCAATCAATATATCTGGAGAATAAAGCTTTTTGGTTGGTCTAAACAAAAATCAATACTCGGAAAAGTAAGAATTCGGGTGTTAAAAAATTCTGGTGACTTTGAGTTAACTTCGGTTTTGTGTTCTTATGCAAAAAATTAAATCAGTGTTTCTAAACTTAAGCTTAAAAATATATTTTGAACACAGAAATTAAGACTGTCTACCAAAAGAAGCAAAAAAAAGGTATTAGAAAATTATTTACGAATATTATTTTTACAATTCAAAAAAAAGAGCAATAGCAAAATGCTATTATATTTACGTTTTGTTTTACTTTCCTGGTAAAAACAAAAAAAAAACGATTTAAACGATGTAATAAAAAAAATGTGTTAAATATAAAAAAAATTTAAGTGAATAAATTCTCATTTGTCTTGTATTATATTTATTCAAGGTTATGGCTTAGCTAACTATATTTCTGCATTCAAATTTCAGGGTTCAGTTGTAAATAAATTTGGTAGAAATTGACCCCATTCTTTGCTTTAGACTCGCTTGAAAAAAGGAAAATGAGCTATTTTTGTAAAACCTGCTCAATTAAGTCACATTTTTTAGTATACATGCGACCAGTTTCATAAAAAATTATCAAAACACATATAAAATGTAATAACTTTTATAAAAACTCGTCACCATTAAGTCCACTGTACTGGTACTCCTACGCAGCCTTAACCCTCAGCTCAACTTGGGCCCCTCCCCCTTTCCTACGCCCCTGCTTCGGTATCATTGTTGATGACATTTATGTCTTAATATTTTTGCAGGTCCAAATGCAAATGCGGTGGCACTCAGGCAGTACCGTTAGCCAGCGCCATTAGCCAAGTTGAGAGGCTCAGCGGATCTACACACACACACTTATGCCAACCATTAATTTCCATTTATGGATTAAGCAAGTGAGCAAACTGACCAGCGGGATGTTTTCAAGGGGGGGGGCGGAAGGGGGGCGAGCAGCCCGCACGCACAAAAGCCTTTAACAAATGCATCGCCATTACGGCCAGCACATGCTTAG